TATGTTTCCTTCTTATTATTATCAATTTTGTATTAAAGAATAATTTTACAAAGGAAAGAAACATATATGTACATATTTTATATATAATTATATATAATTATATATGGAACTTTTTTTCCCGGGTCTAAACAACATAAAGTTCAAAATTGGGTCATATAAGATATCTGAAAAAAATCGAAATTAAAAATATACTAATTTCAAACTTTTTTAAGAAAATTGAAATTAAAAAATTCTGAGCACCTTATGAATAAGTTTTTTAAGGAAATATGACTCGAGCAACGTAGAGCTCGAGTCATAATTTAATAAGACGTCTGAAAAACGTTTGAAAGATGTGTTATGACTCGACTTCAAAGTAGAGTTCTATGTTACTCGTGTCATAAGAAGCATTATATCTAATAAATATAATAATAAATTACAAAAGTTGTTGACGAGAAGGTCCCATGTGTTCAAAAATTAGTAGTCTATTCCAATCTCTTTCCGGACAATTAATCATCTGCCAATTATTAGCGTCAAATTTTCGAATCCAAATTATCAAGAAGTGAGATAAAATAGAATTAAATAGCTCAAAAAATTGTACATATGAAAAAATCCTGCAGCAAATTCAATATAACTGATCATACAATAAAATCGAAAAAGAAAAAAGCAAATCCTGATATAACTTACGAAAGATATAATGAAGAAAAGATGTACACATTAGTAAGTGTACATTATATTAAGAGATATGCGATTGTATAATGTTGTCAATATTGTTTCAAATTTCCGAGCGTCTTTATGAATAAGTTTTACAGGAAATATGACTCGGACAACATAGAGCTCAAAGTTGAGTCATAAGACGTCTGAAAGACGTCTGTTAGACATTCTTTCAGATGTACTTACATGACCCGATTTTGAACTTTGTCTGAAAATAAGAAAAGAAAACAATGACGTCTTTCAGATGTTTCATATGACTCGACTTTGAGCTCCATGTCCAAGTCATATTTCCTGCAAAACTTACTCATAAAGCTGCTCGGGACTTTTTAATTTAAATTTTTTCGAAAAAAACTTCAAAATAGTGTTGTTAATGCTTTTTTTAGAAAAGTTATTAATTCCAGATGCTATTCCGCAAAAATCGATAAAAATTGTAATTTTATATTTATTTATAATATATGTTAACTATATGCATATCTTTGGACAACGTTTATTGAACAGATGTACCACTAGTAAATATTCATTAACATTCACATTCAGTGGGTGATGGATCATTACGAAGCATCAGTTCCCGGATGCAAAGATCAAACATGCTAGGTATATGGCTTGAATGGATCGTTTAAGAACACGTACCGTGAATTAGTTTTCGAACGCATTTTTTAAATAATTATAATTTTATCATTATGCATATTCTCTCATTTTCTCTAAAATGTGATGCTATAATCAATAAAATTTATTATAGAACTAGAATAATTGCTTTCAGTTCTAAATAAACGTCTAATAGTCGTTTAATTCAGATGACACAAAAATATAAGTATATTGAATCGACCAATTTAATATCAACTGGGTTTTTGGACTTTAATCCGTTAATCCGACTTGTCATTTTCACTTTTTTATAATACTTATATTGCAGCATTATATATTATATGTATATATGTATATTGGCTGAAGAAGACTCGGCAATTTAAGAATGTTCCTTATATTGCAAAATCTAACATTATAGTTTTACTAAAACAACGTTGTTAAAAAAGCTTTTCCTTTCTTCAAAGTTTACAAAGAGTGAACTTCCTGTTTAATTAGTTTTACTTTTATGTGGCATATACTTATATAATATATGTATTTTATTATTCATTTTGATCTCATTTTGTTCCTTTTATACTATTAATTAGAATTTAATATATCATTTATGAATTTCTTATTTTCTAAACCAAATTCATGTCAAAGAGTGATTTTTTTTCAAGGTCTCCCTTTGCTGGGGAAACACTCTAGAACACTTGTTTGATTCTTCTTAAAGAGTCTTCGATTGGGTCGATGTTGAAGCATTTACTTTCTTCATGGATCAGTTTCCACTGCAAGATATCAAGGATACTTTCTTGACTTCGAGAAGAGCTCGGCCTTAAATGAGAACACATGGGTACCGTAACCTTCTTTATAAGAAGTCCAAGTCGAGGTCATAAAAAGAAGAAAAAGAAGAATCCTGATGTGCACACATAACTCATTCAAATGTGCAAATTTCATGTTTTACCTTAGACTTGAAACATATTTATGATTTCAAAGCTACAAATTAAGTATGTCAGTAAAATATGAGAGAAAATCCTGAGAATTATAATCGAAAAGCAGTTTCTTGTATAAACAATTGATAATGAATTGATCTGAAAGTTTACATTATAATTATAAGAACCACCTCGAATCACTCTTAAATGATACACTGAATTGATGATTCTAACTTTGCAATATTGCGTAAATTTAATTTTCTATAATTAAGATCATAGACGCCTACACGGTACAAAGCGGATTTTGGTGCTCCCATATAATATTATAGTGTGAATCTTACAATTTTCGATTCATATAACACCACGTGGCCGCAAATCGCGTGCATCTCCGCAGCTCCGAATCAAGTATATAGTATATAATATCACAATTAAATTGCCAAAGGCAATCTAATAAATCGATGCTCAAAGCATCTATTTTAAATCCTGTGAAATCCCCCACTCTCGCGATATAAATGCTAACTTGTATCTATTCGAATCTGTAAAGAATTTATTGTGAAAGAATATCACCTCATGTTCTCAGCCAGGAATCGAAACCCAGATCTCCACGTTTGCCGGACGGATATCCTGCCGTTAGACCACCAAGGCATATATATGTGATAATATTCAACAATCTAGCGAGTTTTCAAGCGGAAATTCAATATATATATTTTGAGAAAAACGTATGTTCAAAGCGACGTGTAATATTATATAGAAGCACCAAAATCCGCTTTGTACCATGTAGGCGCTTACGATCTTAATTATTTAATATTCCACGGTCTTTCCTGATAATTAATTTTCCGTATTTTTTTTTCTAATTTGTAAACAAATCTTTTTACTTACGATCTATAAAAGTTTGTAAGAATTTATTAGTTAATAGGCTATTTCTTTAAAAATTGTATACGTTTCATTATGTATACATCCAATTTTTTTCATTTTTCTCAACTTGAGCGTGAAAGGTCAAAATGAATCGAAGAATTTGGCATTTCTGTCATTTTTTATTATCTCCACAAATCATTGATTGAATTTAATAATGAGACGACTTTATAAATAACACTATAGAAATATTGCTAAAATTTTAATTTAATCTTGAAATAAAAAAATCTACTTTACAAAAGTAACTTGATATTTTCAAGAACACCTATTAAAAACTATAAGGTTCAGAGAAGAAATCAGTAAAGGTCGATGATATGTTAATATCATTGTTTAATAAATTGATAAATAAATTAAATAGGAAAAATAAAATCGACTTTGCATAATTCTCCTTCTGGACTGGCATGTCAATTTCATGATAAATAGGCCGACATTGGTATTTATGTATGTATTAATTCCAACTATCTTTATTTTACTGGGAACTTAATTATCTTGTTTATAACAATATTGCAACTCTTTTAAAAAATCTATTTGTGAGTTATATATTGCTCTCTCTCTATATGTCAAGAAAAAAAGAAATTAATAAAAGTATAGAGAATTCTACAAGAAACAATCTATCGCAAATATTTTTCTGTAATTTCCCGAATTTTTTCATTGGAAGCTTGAACTGTGTGAAAAAAATACAGCAATACATTTGCGTAGTTTATATAAAGAGCTTTAAACTATTTAAAATACTGCTAGTCCCTAGTCAAAAAGAACTACTAGTGCAGTAAAAACACTACTGAAATGTAGTAGTGTCAGTGCTATACATATTTATCATATGTATACTTATTTTCTTAATTATAAATATAGCAAGAAAATATTTTTCGTAATCCTAATTGTCTTGTAGTTTAAGATTCCGATTTAGAGTTTATATACATATATTTAACTTTTTAAGGGGATTCGGGGAAGATCAAATTCGTACAAGATTGATAATACAGGCTTTTTAATTCCAAACTAAAAAACTTATATCGATAATAATGATATCTTCAATTCAATTTCTTATATATTGTTCTGTCTCGCGTGCTGTATTAAAAGCACCATCTATTGCAAGATCTGACACCTATTGCTACACATTTATTGCCATTTACTACTCTAATGCTTACTACTCGATTTATATATACTGCTCACTATATATACATGTATAAAATCAACTCAAGGGGAATTCTTTTCTATTAGGCTTTTAATTTCAGCTTTCATGATTAAAAATTCTTTCTTAATTTAAAATTCCAAATTTCACCAATCTTTATATAAATATAAGCTATACATCTTATATATTAATATTAATCAATTAATCAATATTTCGCTGAGTTGACAGCTCAACGTGTAAAAACTGCAACGTACATCGTTCGAACTCTTTGATTTAAAAATTATAATTTTTATTAAATATCAAGAAACATCGTGGAATTTTAACAAACAATTGAAATCGTAACATCTACACGGTACAAAGCGGATCTTGGTACTTTTATATAATATTAGTGTGAATCTTATGCAATTTTTCGGTTCATATAACACCACGTGGCCGCCCATCGCGTGCTTCTCCGCAGCTCCAAATCGAGTAGTATGTACAATAATATCACAATTAAATTGCCGAAGGCAATCTAATAAATCGATGCTCAAAGCATTCAGTACTTTAAGCTCACTTGCATCTAATAAATTCTCCCTCCCTCGCGACGTCAAATAAATTCTAACTTACATCTATACGAATATCTGTAACGCCGAATCTGTAACTAAATTTATTGCGAAAAAATATCACCTCTTGTTCTCAGCCAGCCCTTTCTGGCTAAGATTTTTTCGCAATAAATTTAGTTACAGATTCGGCGTATAGATGTAATTAAGTTAGCATTTATTTGACGTCACGAGGGAGGGGAGATTTATTAGATGCAAGTGAGCTTCAAAACTGGATGCTTTGAGCATCGATTTATTAGATTGCCTTCGGCAATTTAATTGTGATATTACATACTACTCGGTCCGGAGCTGCGGAGAAGTACGCGATGGGCGGCTATGTGGTGTTATATGAACCGTAAAATTGTAAGAGTCACACTAATATTATATAAAAGCGCCAAGGTCCGCTTTGTACCGTGTAGACGTTATGATTTCAATTGTTTGTTAATTATAATTTTGATTAAAATTTTTTAGCATTTTAATCCTTTTATGTTTCGACTTTTTATGTATATTGATCACATTTTTTTATATATTTTATTCTAGCTATTTCTACAATGTTACAAATGCGAAATTTTATAATGACGTATTATTCGCTCTTGTTTAATCGTTTTAAATCTGAGAGGACCGTATACTAATATTTCACGACGTTTTTCGAGGATTTATGCCTAAATATTCGTTTTTAAATGGTATTATAACATTTATCATATACATTTATAACATATTACCGTTTTCCGTTCAAATTTATGTGTTAATTTTTACCGTTTTTAACATTGAGAATGACCCAATGTAGGTCGAAACGTTTGTGTTGATCATATTATTTGTGGTAAATTGACTTCTTATTTGAGCATAAAATACCTAACTCTGGTTCATAGCCTATATTTTATTTATTAATTTCAACAATTAAATTATAAGATTATATTTTATATATTTTTCGTCTTCTAATATTTTATTTTATATCAAACTGTATTTCCAATGCTGCCGCTGACTTAAAAGATGTGTTTGTGCAAAATTTGATGACCTTAATATTTTTAATTAGCTAATTTTTAAATAAAACATTTTTAAAAATAGTTTTCTCAAATATTTTTAGAGAGGATGCAATATTTTTATTTTTGTTCCTGATGCTATAATGCTGATACTATCCTTTTATCTACAATATTTTCTCTTTTTTTCTATCTTTATTTCTTTACTTTTAAATTTTCTTTTCTTATAGATTTATTTATTTATATATTAATTTTAATCGTTTCTTACTTCCTTACTGTATGTAACACATATTCTCTATATTGTTCTGTCTTATTTTTACACCTATATCTAATTATTAAACTTTTATCCTTTCATATAAGGATATTTTGATAGTTCTGTTTTTATAGATACATATACATATGTATCTATAGAAAAGCTATCAGAAATAAATAAATCCATATATAATATATTATATCTGGATTTATTTATTTCTGATAGCTTTTCTATTTTTCTTTCCTCTATATTTTGTCCAATATTGCGCAATATCTCCTGATTTTTCTCCCCTCTTTTTCATTTTTTATCCGTTCCTTTTCATTCCCACTGTTTCTAAGCAAGCTTTTTTCTTTTTCTTCAACTTCCCTAATTACTTTTTCTTATAGTTCCTTTTCCAGTTTTTTTTCCAAATTTCATACAATCTGATACTAATTTCTTGTTTGTATTTTATATTTTTTTTCGCAGAGAGTTCCCTTATTTACTACTAACAATTAATTTTTACCAGCAATCAGCAGTTAATTTTATGACATTTTTGTTTCCTTCATAAAGTGAAAAAATATTGACCAAATTTATAATTTTGGTAGAAAATATTATAATTTGGTAAAAATAGTGACCAAATATTATAATTTGGTAAAAATGGCTTTTACCTAGACTCTAGTTCACATTACGTTTACTATAGATTTTCAGTACTGCCAGTGTATTTTATATTGGAACGGCTTTAGTAATCTTTGGTTTAGTATCCATTTTATCTATTTTTAAAATTCTATCCAAACTATTTATTTTGCTATTTCCATATTTCTACATTGCCTACCAGAGCATTTTTATTCTTCTATAATCATTCATGAACAACCTTTTGTATATGCTTCATATATTTTTATTGACTTATTAGTTATTATTCTCTTTAATCGTTTTTTTTTATGTGTTTTACTGCTCTTCTATTCTTCTGCATAATATATCCCAAATATTTTTTCTTGAATTACTTCTGTACTTTTTTGCCCTATCTCGAATTTCTGTTTTTTCTTCTATTTCTCGATCACTGTTATCTTTTATTTCTTTTTTCTATTTAAAAATCTTATTTCCTTCAGTTCTTATTTGTTTTTTATCAACAAAACCGCCGTATCGTCTGCAAATGTGATTTAGATTTTTTTACTTATTACTTTTTAGTTTTTCCTCTAGATCCATCACATATATGTTAAATAATATTGGACATTTTTGCCTTATTCCTTTCTCAGTCCAAAGCTCTTGTAATTTCCTGTCTTCTATTTTGACCATATTTTTTCTCTTATTGTATGTTTCCATTATTCTTTAATTATCTCTTATCCCTATTTTTTTGCATTGCTTTATTTACATAACTCCGTTTTATTTCATTAAATTTTGCCTTAAAATTAACGAAAAAGGTAAAATTTTCCGATTCTTCTTGCTCGCTCAACTTTTTATTTATTTGTAATATAAATTCAAAATGTGTACTGCATCTAACGTTCTTTTGTTTATCCAAACTTGTATTTCCTACAACTTATCTGCCGTTTCTCTCATCAATTTCTCGTTTAAACGCTTATGTAGATAGATACATTTTGTAGGCCTCTATTAACATAAGTATTAATGTTATCTCTCTATAATTTTTTAGATTGTAATAGTAAAAATATAAATATATAAGAATATAGTACTATATAAAAAATATATAAAAATACTGAGTAATAGCGTAAATTGAATGACACTGTCATTGATTTATAAATTCATCGTGTTTTTATTAACAATATATTTGTGTAATAAACTTGTAACGAACTTGTGTAATAAAATCTTGCAATTATAGTATAAATAATGGAGTGTTATCCATACCCATTACCTATTACATTAAAGATCTAAAAATCTAAAAAATTTATATGGCTTTGAGGTACAATCAATAAATATACTTCAATTCTAGGAAGACCGACCAAATAAAATGTGCATGCTAATACTGATATTTAATCTGAATGAAATCTTTTTGTGTTGTTGATTTTTATTATTATTATTATTATTATTATTATTATTTAATAAACTGCAACTAGTTATTTTCAATTAATTCAGATTAAATTTTCATAACAAAAATTATAGCATATTTATAGTAACTTTCAAACACATAGATATGAAATGTCCAGCAAAGATATTAAAGACGTAATAAATGAGAATATATGTACGTATTACAATTATTTTATTTACACACACGTAAGTAAATCAGTGTTTTGAAATATTGATATTTCAATAGTATCTTTTCAACTGAGCAAAAATCTACGTTATTACCTCTAAAATGCTTTAACAATTCATGCTTTAAAATAGATTCCTAGATTGCTCTTGAACTTATTCGTAGATTATTCAATATGAATTAGAAAAATATTTTATGTCCCCGTTAAGCTATATAAAAAGTCTAGATGTAAGAAGTATATGATATTACGTGTATAATATATATATATATATTATATATATGCACATACATATATCTGTATATTATAAACAATGAATTTTGTGTACTAAATTTTATATAATTTTATGAATTTTATAAATAATATAAATACTCTATGTATGAGATTAACTGAAAAAATACTGAATAAATGAAATATAGCAGTTGTGAATTATCAGATTGTACTGGAATATGTATATAGTGTCTCATATTTATAACTGATCGAAAAGCAAGTATGTTATTGGTACAACTAAGCCAGTTTTTGTCCACGTTGAAGCAAATAAAACTTTCACCAGCCACCAGATCAAGCCTAATAGAACAGCTTGTAAACCCAGATGAGCGACCATGAGTCTGGAAATATAAATGACAATTATCATCATCGATATCAATTAATAATGATTAACATTGATTATTATTAAGATGTCACATATACAACAAATACACTTACATTTTATCTTTGGAACGTGCTTTCTGTAAAGATTTCGGAGATTCGTTGCTAAGATATGTTCTGACACCCTGTATCAAATCGGTAAAGTAATCCTTCCAAACTAACGGTCTAATATCGAGCGTGAACAACTTTTGATCTTCTGGCGATAACGACTCGTGCAATTGCAGCATGCGCGGATTATTGAATCTCCATTCTTGGAAGATAAATTGCTCGAGGCGTGCCAACGAATTGCTCACATTCGTATGCAAACGAACCAAACTGAAAATATAAGAAAGATGCCGCTCATTCTAAAGGCAATTTCATAACGAAAGCGATATTTTTTTTATGCGAAATATACTGAACCCTACATAGGACGACCTCCGCATAATCGTGTAACTGTATCCAAAATGTAAGCAGGAATGAAATGAATGAAGATGGCCGAGAGTTTAAACCAGAAGAGCGACGGCATAAACTTGAGATACGGATACCAGACGGCACTTCGTAACGGATATATATGTAAATAATTATTAATGTCCTTTTCTACGATCTCCCATTTGAAAGCTTTGCACGTGCTAGACGTGCAGTGGTACACTTTCAATCCTTTGTCGCTAAAATTATAGATTGTGTCAGAAAACTGAAATATTGCAATTCAAAGAAAGCGCATGTATCTTGTATAAAAAATAAAATAATATTTATAAAATATTAAAACGATGCTGGAATTGTCTGCAATTTTACCGACGAAAGCGCAATAATTTTCGTGATAATTAAACTCCGTGTAATTTTAATAGATTTGCTTCATGCAACAGTTGTGCAATTCGTACTCAGAAAATTAAGGCTGACAGACTAGTAGATTTCATGAAGAAACATGGAGTTCTTAGAATTAGATTTAG